TAGCGCGGAAGTTTTTTTCATCAAATTTTGGGAACAGCTTAGTGCTAATTGAAGTGTCAACGTTTTGGTGAATTTTCTGAAATTTTACGTTTTCAGCATTGTAAAACCATGGAGAATATTCAGTAAAAATTACAACATATTACTTGCATTTGCTTTACTCGTAATGAATGAAACGTTAGCGGTATTGTTGAAACATCGCAACCAAGAAATTTCCTTTCCGCACTTAGCGCTTTAATTGTCATGATTTAAAGTTAGCGGCAGGTAATTTAATGTAGCGTTGAATCCGAATTTCAGGTCAAAAATTATTGTGGAAGTCATTTAACTGTCGTGTTACCGACCTTTACCTCAAAATATACGTTATGTTGCAGACCCCTCAAAAATCCTCAGAACTGATCTAATTTAAATTTTGGGACCTTTTACCCAGGGCCGGATTTACCTACTCGCCGCCCATGGGCCGCCTGTATTTTTCCGCCCGCTTCTCATTCGTTTTGAAACATCAATAGATCGTACTTGACAGTGGTTCGGTGTATCGTTTGGTGCAAAATAATAGTACATAACCTCAAACAAAAAAATTCAGGATTTAATTCGGAAAAGCTGAAAATGATAAAATTCCTAACAATTTCACCATTCATTGTAAGCCCATCCCAGTTTGGACAAGGCCTTCCATTTATAAAAAAAAACGAAACAATTATGAAAGAACAAACATAAATGTGCTTACAAATTTTAACTTCCACCGCCGCGCCGACAGCACTGTTTTGGCGCAATGCGTGAGTATTCATGCAGTCTTGCAGGCGCTATGCGTTTCGAGACGACTGCTGCTGACCGCAGTGTGTTTGACGCAATGCGTGAAGTATTCACACAGTCTTGTCGGCGCTATGCGTTTCGAGCCGACTGCCGACTGCTGCTGACCGCAGTATGTTTGACGCAATGCGTGAAGTATTCATGCAGTCTTGTAGGCGCTATGCGTTTCAAGCCGACTGCTGTTGACCGCACTGCCGTGATAGCGAAGAGAGCCGTAAGTGCAAAAATGAAGTTTTGAGAAAACGGGCTCAGAAGCTTCTGACAAGAACATTTTATGGAAAGAAGCCTCCGTTCTTTGTCAAATTGCCACTAATCGTGCGGAAGACTCCTAGAAATCGTATGGATGATTAAAAATCGACTGATTTTATTTCCATTGCATAAAAAGGGTATTTTTCATTTTCATGCTAGGTTATTGTTAGGCAAGACAGCCGTAAGTGCTATCTTCTGCATGCTTTCGTGGTTGCGTTTTGGACGCACAACAAACACATTTTCAGGTTAGAAATTGGCAGGAGAGGGCGGCACCTTACTGGAAAGCACTGTTTTCATTGTCTCTCATGCATCTACGGCTGTCTTGAAAAAAACTATGTCATTTTTTGTGCACTTACGGCTTTCTCATACGTCTTGTTTTCATTAAATTAGGATGAATTTTGCTGTTTTAGCTGTCTCAGTAATTTCATCTAAAAGAGTTTAGACGAATTTTGAAGGAAACTCGATTTCGAAAATTTTGTACTTACGGCTCTCTTCGCTATCATGGCAGCGCAGTGTGTTGGACGCAATGCGTGAAGTATTCTCGCAGTCTTGTAGGCGCTATGCGTTTCATGCCGACCGCTGCGCCGCTCCGGTCAAATTGCGTGTTTGGTTTCTCTCTTAACTCGACTAATTAAAGGTGAAGTCTCTTGTATCACCGAAAGACGACAAAATTAGAAGTTACTATACTTTTACTCTCAGGAAATGAGAGATTTTGTCGCCTTTTCTCGTTTGTAATTTATATTCTGAATCCAATTTTTTCTCTCATTTTTTGATACCTACATTAAAAAAGATTGCAAAATTTTCCGCCCCCTACATTTTGCCGCCATGGGCCGCGGCCCATGTGGCCACCCCGTTAATCCGGCCTTGCTTTTACCTAAAATTGACCGTAAACTGTGCCGAGAACACCTCAATAACCCCCAAAATTGAACCAATTTTATTTTTGACCTGGAATCTAGATTTTTCAATAAAATGATTGTTGATCGTTAGTCCCGTCCAGGTTACCCGAATTTGATGGTCTCAAACAAGGGTTATCTGGGGCTGGCTTGATTGGTGATGCAGGGGGAATGTGACTTTCGGGAAAGTAAAGCGCATGCATAATTATCTGTCGTGGGATATTTGAAGTGAAAAAAAAAAAACATCCTCCAAATTAAAAGGAAATCGATATTTTTTCGACGAGGAGCCGTAGTTTCGAGGTGTTTTAGCTGAGTCAAGAAGTTATGTTAAAGTCGTGCACTCTTACCTCCTTGTAGAAGAATCACTCAAATTCCGAGACTTTAGCGTGGAACGATGATTTTAATGGAATGCGGTTGGGGATACTTCATGAAATCGTTGTTTATTGTGTCGCACGTATTTTTTGTTCTAAAAGTGAAAATGTACCTCAGCAGAAATATCCGAGAAAGACGAGTAAACATTTCCGAATTTGAGGACTTCAACCTCCCCGAGACTCGGACGTCCTAAACTCCGGATCCGACTTTGATCCCACACAATATTCCCGCACAGCTCTCCCGACAGCCTTTTGTTTTTACCATTGAAAAACGACACGTCGCGTCGGCTCCTTCGCGTGCATCATACAGGGTGAGCGAAAAGTCCCCGACCCCCCCTCTAACTTTTGAACGAATTGAGCTAAGGAAATGAAACTTTGGGAATGTTCCCATCTCAAAGGGGACCATCTTTTGAGGGGGTCGAAATTTTGGTCCCCCCCTCAGGGGGGGACAGGGGCCCCCCATTTTTTTTTTTTCAAATAGCAACCCCTATCTTGTGATACCTCATTCGAAATAGCATGAAAAACTAAGAATTTTGGCGCAAACCGCAGATCAATATCTCAATTTTTGACCGAGTTATGATAGGTCAAAGGTCAAATTTGACCTATTTTCAAAAAATCATAACTCCGGTTCAAATTATCGTAAAGAAAAAAATAAAACGGGAAAATTTATCAAATTGTGTTCACTTTTACGTAAAAATTGCAGAAATCACTTCGATTTAATTTTAAGGGGGGGCTCGGACCCCCAAATACGTCAATTCAAAGGTCATTCAATTTTCCTGCGAAATAAGCCAATTTCCTCTGGATTTGCCTCCACATTATCTCAGTAAGGTCAAAATCAGTTCAACATTACGTTGGCAAGTCCCCAAATTTCGGGAAAAGTTAAAAAAACGAAATTTAAGGTGATTAAATTTGACCGTTTAAATTTCGTTTTTTTAACTTTTCCCGAAATTTGGGGACTTGCCAACGTAATGTTGAACTGATTTTGACCTTACTGAGATAATGTGGAGGCAAATCCAGAGGAAATTGGCTTATTTCGCAGGAAAATTGAATGACCTTTGAATTGACGTATTTGGGGGTCCGAGCCCCCCCTTAAAATTAAATCGAAGTGATTTCTGCAATTTTTACGTAAAAGTGAACACAATTTGATAAATTTTCCCGTTTTATTTTTTTCTTTACGATAATTTGAACCGGAGTTATGATTTTTTGAAAATAGGTCAAATTTGACCTTTGACCTATCATAACTCGGTCAAAAATTGAGATATAGATCTGCGGTTTGCGCCAAAATTCTTAGTTTTTCATGCTCTTTCGAATGAGGTATCACAAGATAGGGGTTGCTATTTGAAAAAAAAAAATGGGGGGCCCCTGTCCCCCCTTGAGGGGGGGGGACCAAAATTTTGACCCCCTCAAAAGATGGTCCCCTTTGAGATAGGAACATTCCCAAAGTTTCATTTCCTTAGCTCAATTCGTTCAAAAGTTAGAGGGGGGGTCGGGGACTTTTCGCTCACCCTGTAGAAACGGAAGTGGGTCGCAAATATTTCAGTAAAGTTCATCACGGTGGATGTGAGGGCGTCTTGAAACCTTGGGCCAGCGTAGCCACCGTGCCAACTGTTTTCGGAAACTCACACCAAGGATTCCACTTTTAACCAGATCTCAAAACCAACGTCTTGCTCCTTGCTTCATGTCTTGCCCTCTGCTTCGAGCATGTATTTTTAGCAGTTTTCATCATTCAAACCATTTCATCGGTCAATAATCGATGTCGCAGTTTGTTTTGAAATAAGCGCGGTAGAATGTTTTTGTGTTTCGAAATCAGGGATGCCGAAGCATCAGTAGCCCAGGGAATGCCCGGTCAAGCTCCCGGCGCTTAAAACTGAAAAAGCGGTAGAAACGTGGAGCGGAGAAAATGTGATACGTTTTTTCTCCCGAGGTGCAAAGTTTTTGCCTTGGTTTGGAGAGATAATCGCGAGAGCCGCGTATCGCCGCGGGCAATCCAGTGGTGGATCCAGGGGGGGGGGGGCATCACATTGCCCCCTTCGGGCCAAAAAAGGGGAGGGAGAAGGAGAAAGGAGAAAACGGAGGGAAAAAAGGAGAGAAAAAATGTGTTCCTACAAATTTACTGAAATGTTGTCAGGACAGAATTTTAGAACTATTTAACCAAGTTTACTAAACCAAAGGTTACTAAATGCCGCAGAAGTAAATAGGTCATATACCAATGTAAAATTTCTGTGAAAGAGGGATTTCTTGTTACTTTTTAAATAATGCACAAATTGTATGCTAGAGCAGCCTAAAATTTAACCGGAGACGGGCTATTTTTTCGAAAAGTTTCCAGGGGAGACCCTCCCTCCCCCCACTCGACACAAGCAAATGGTCCCCTCTCCAACTCACTCTGGATCCGCCACTAGGCCAATCGGAACATCCCAATTAACGTGAAATTTTGGAATACTTACCATGAATTATTTTACGAGCCCCTCTCCCCGGCAACATCGAAAGAAAAGTATTGAAAAGCTACCTGGCAGATACATGTAAACCCCTGTCCCCTGCTCACTTCCCGTTCTTAAGCATTAAAGCAAAGCGTGATGAGCGGCAACATTATCGAGCATTGTGCCCTGTTTTAATGAAACATATTTGTCCGACCGTGCGTCTGTACGAATGTGCTAATGAAGACAATGATGTTTTTTTTTTGTTTCAGGCGCTGCTGGCGGAAGAGCCTCCGGAGTCAGTATCACAAGTAGTGAGTTGCAAGACGGAAGGAAAAACTCCGCTGGTTATGGCCTGTCGAAATGGGCACCTAGGGGTCGTCGAGTACCTAGTCGACAGGTGTAACGCTGACATAGAACAAAGTGGACAAGGTAATACTGGGTTTCTCATGATCGCGCTTCTCTTTTTGTTGTCTACCTCACAATAATCATCGCAACGAGCTCTCTCGTACAGTGGAACAGCGGTTTCATCGTTAAATTGCGCGCTTACTCGGAATAGCGGTCTGAATGTTGAAATCGATAGATGAAGCTGAAGACAAAGCACGGTGCCCTTGAACCATTTTTAATCAACTTCGAATGTACATCAAGAATTCAAGTTGGAGGTTGTAGTGGGCTACTTCCTGATGGGTTTTTAGCCAATTTCCAAAAAGGTCATCGGAGCTCTTGGAAAAATAATCGCATTTTGTGGTTTTTTACGGGTAAAATAGCAAAATTGGCTATGGGGCGACAAATTAAAGTCCCCCTCCCCCACTCTTGCCTTGACCAATTTGAATATTTAGTACGTTGTTACTTAGAGTATAAGACGCAACTTTCCTGAAATTTTCATGCTCGTGCAAACGTGTTTGCCCCTGTGGTAGCGTTACCAAATTGCGGATTTCAAAATATCGAATTTGTTGATGAATGAAGGTTTCGAGGTGGGATTTCATCTAAAGACGAAAAATGTGCAAGCTGAGAGTCTCCGATTAGAAAAGGCTTTTTTAAATAATTTCAAATTGCGGTGTTGCCAAGTTTACAACTTAAATGAAGCCAAATTAAAAAATAAAATGGCAAGAAATGGTAATTTAAATTTAAATGGCACATGTGAACATTTTGTCAGAGGAGTCGTTCCATCGTCGGCAATATTCATCATGGCCGACGCTTCCGCAGTTCCGCGCGTAATTTGAGGAGAGATCAAGGTCAATAAAGGGTCATGAGCGAGGAAAATTAGCAAACGTAAACACGCCGATTGTTATTTGGTCTTATCCTGGTTAGGTGTTATCTCGTCTCGTTACACGTGTTTTGGCTGATTGGTGTCGGCCATGATGAATATTGTCGACGATGGAACGACTCCTCTAACAAAATGTTCCCCTGTGCCGTTGTATCATTTTTGAGGCGGAAAGCTGAAAAGTAACATAAAAAATACTTACACGAGAAAAAGTTGAAATCCAGTATACATGCTGTTGTGTAACACTGAGCTTTGCCGCCCCCCCCCCCCCCNCCCCGGTCACTCTCGGTCTCAAAATTATAAAGTTCCACCTCTTAGAGCGTTAAGTAATTATGGAAAGCCCCTAAGGTATAGCCAGTCCGAGAGCCAGTCAATCCTTGGTGAAAATGAAGTGGGGTCCTTTTAGGAATGGACCCTGATTGGTTGAACTGATTTCTCTGAAATGGAATGCGATTTAAGGCTCTCTCATGATGAACGATACCCACTTATTTTCACAAGTTCCCGCACTCAAGCGCGCCGCGATTGTTAATGCTACGAATCTGAGAGTCTGCCGTTGTCGGTAAATCATGCAAACCAAGTTGACGAAGATTTCTAAACAGAGACGTCTTGTGCATTCCCGTTTTGCCTTGAGCGCCGCACCGATCTGGTCGCGAATATTCCCTTGGGCGTATTTGAATCAAAAGGAACTGTATCCATTGTAAGCTGGGCCCTGAGCCCTGTAAAAATACATGCACAACCAGACCCATGTCACAGTGGAGATAGTACCCTCAGATTTAAATACGTCCCGCCCGTTGTAGTAGGAAGCTTGGCGCCTGACGCGCCACCCGTCAACTTGCAAACCATCCATCCGCTTTCGCTTCAAGATCCTGCTTCATGGAGAACTCGAATGCGTGCAACTCTGCACCCATCTTTACTTCATGCATATGATAAACGCATCCTGCTTTTACATACCAACCAACGGCTACGGAACAGTGCTGCTTATCTGCGATGGGACAATTTTAAAGGCGGAAGAAAAAACTTCGCCATTTTTGTAATTTTGAGGTTAGGCTTGCAGTCCTTTGTAATTTTAATAAAACATGCGATTTTTTGTGCAAGTGAAATCTGGATAGCTATCAGGCCGAATCTCACGAGATTTGTTTTCGAGTTTAGCGATTCATTTGAGAGTGTGCCCAGATTCGAGATTTCGAAATTCCTCGATTTTTTTTTTAAAAAAAAAATAAGGAAGGTTTTAACAACAAAAAAGGGATTCAAACAATCAAAGCATTGTTCGGAAAATTGGCAACGTCGCGATAGAAATCGGTAAGAGTGTACTTCATCGGCACGATAAGCAACCCTAGAATTAAGTTTCGAGGTGAGTGAGACAAGCAAAGTGCCCTCAGTTAATGTCGAATTTGACGAACGCTGTACGAAATTCATTTTAACTCCTGGGTGCAATTATTCGAGCTTCATTGATGTCGGTGTTGTATTCGCACGGAAGTGAAGGCGTTTTGACTGTTCAGACTCTCACCACTTCACCCGCGGACCGCGGCGCGGGCTTTATTGCGAGGATATAGTCTAAGAGCCAGCTGCATTTTTGGCGCCACTATTCCGTCACGCTGGAAACTTTGTGGAGACATAGTTCTGACCTCCCTATTAACGGATTGGGCAATATCAGACTTCAAAAGTGGTTCCTCTGGCCGCTGCGCCCCCCGAAAAATGGAAAAAATCGTGCGATGAAATCGCACGATAGAGCCACTTTTCGGCTCCTGAAAAGTACTTTGACGTTGTTTCCTAACCTTTATATTGTACGCACTTACAGTTTAGGTACATATAAACTTCGTATTAGCCCGACAGACGAATTCGAGTTCGTATGGCCGATCAGGAGACCCCAAAACCGGCTCCTCCGTGCAATAAAATCGAAAGAAAGAGCCACTACTTTAAGGCTCCTGAAAAGTGCTTTGACGTTGTTTTTCAACCTTTATATTGTACGCACGTATAGTTTGAAAACATATAAACTTTGTATTAGCCCGGCAGACGATTTCAAGTTCATACGGCTGATCGGCAGACCCCATAAATGCGATAAAATCGAACGAAAGAGCCACTTTTCGGCTCCTGAAAAGTACTCTAACGTTCTTTCCTAACCTTTATATTGTACAAACGTATAGTATGGGTGCATGTGAACTTAGTTCTAGCCCGGCAGACGATTTCCCGTTCATGCGACCGATCGGCAGACCCCGAAAATGGCTCTGAAAGCAATGAAAATTTAACGTGAAAATACTGGCCTTAACGATCCTTCTAGGGAACCGTTAAAGTTCTCTTACCTTGTTCTGGTACTTTTATCATGTAAAACTGAAAAATACGGATAAAATTAAAGGTTAGTAGATTATGAGATACCCCTTTTGCGGCAGATAAGGGTAAGGCCGTGTAGCCGATCGGTGAGACTCTGAATTTGCTTTTGAGAGCTTAAATGCGCCAAAAACTGGTCGTTGAAGCACACTTACTTTGCAGCCTTTTGAAGGTATTTCTAAGTCTTATACATACATAAAGTCGCTTTTATAGCGGCGCCTCGCGCTCTGCGACGCCCAATCGCCATTGCCCCCTATCCTCCCAGAGATCATCAGGCAATTGGCACCTTCTGATCTCCTCCTCCACCCCTTGTCGCCAACCTTTCACAGGACGTCCACGCCGTCGCCTTCCGGGAGGAACCCAATCGAAGACCTGCTTGGGCAACCGGTCGTCTGCCATCCTTTGCACATGTCCATACCAGACCAACTGCTTGGACCTGATATCGTGCACGATGTCCTTCTCCACACCCATGATCTCGCGTACTTTTACATTGCGGATACGCTCTCTTCTTGAGATGCCAGCAGACCTCCGCCAAAAGTCCATCTCAGTTGCCCTAAGCATGTCTTCAGTTCCTTTCTTGAGTTGCCAGACCTCACTCCCGTAAGTTACGATACTCTTCACGATGACGTTGTAAATTTTCCTTTTGGTCTCCTTGGAGATACTCTGGTCCCAGAGAACCCCATTTAGCATCGCGATAGCTTTCCTGCCTTGCACATTCCGATCTTTAATAGCCCGATCCAAATTTCCGTCCTTAGTTAACCAAACTCCTAGATATTTATACTCTTCACAGTCCTGAATTTTCCGACCATCCTCCAGTTCAATGCTTTGCTGATCACCACCGATAACCAACTTCTCCGTCTTAACCACATTTACTTCCATTCCCCACTTTCGGTATACTTCCACTAGCTTCCGCGTCATGTAATTCGTATCTTCTTCGTTCTGAGCTATTACCACCTGATCATCAGCAAAGCACAGAGTATAAAGGGTGCCATCTTCACGTAGCGGGACGCCCATTCCCGAACAGCATCTTTTCAATTCCTTTAAAACTTCTTCCAGGTACACTTTAAATAAGGTTGGCGACAAACAACACCTTTGTTTCAGTCCTTTAGTAATTAAAAACCCAAACGATAAGTCCCCATGCGATTTAACCCTAGAAAAAGCCCCACCATACAATTCCTTAATAGCACTAATTAGTCCCCCACTAAAACCCCTTTTGTTTAAGGCCTCCCAAAGTTTCATCAATGGCACACTGTCGTAAGCTTTCTGGAGATCCACAAACACTAGATGTAATTCCTGGCCAACTCCCTTCTTTTTCTCGATGACGTGGATGATGGTAAATAAGTGATCAATCGTTGACCGACCGGCTCTGAAACCTGCTTGCTCTTCCGCTTCATGTTCTTTCCACTCCTCTTCGATTTTTGCTTTCAGGATTTTTCCATACACTTTGCTTAGGGTACCTGCAACCGACAGTCCTCTATAGTTATCACACTCATCTTTTCTACCCTTCTTCTTGTATATAGGTGACACCCAAGACTCTTTCCATTCTGTCGGTACCTTTTCACCGTCCAAGCAATCTTGCATCAGGTATCTCAACCGTTGAAACAGCTTGCAGGTTCCACACTTGATCAACTCAGCAGGAATATTTCCCGGACCCGGAGCTTTATCGTTCTTCAGCTCTCGTACGGCCTTTACCACGTCCTCCATATGGATCTCCAAGTTATGATTATCGTTAGTATACTCCAAGCTTTCACCTCCATCTTGAAATTCAGGTCGCCTTTCTGTCAGTAAATTTTTAAAATAACCCTCCAGTTTATCAATGGATATCGGAGATATTAAGTCCCGC